TAATGTAGAATCAGTGGGAGCCTTGAGCTTCTTTTCCTACAACTACATGGTCTTATCTGAGAGTGATGGGAGACAGTGACAGATCGTTAGGCATTTCATTCCCAAAGGAGCAGCAACCTAGAACCCTCACATGCAGTTTTCAGTAGGATTCACACTTCTGTTAGAATCTAACATGGTTAATCAGCCAGGAGGTGAAGCTCAGGCAGTAATGCTCGTGATGCGGAGCAGCTGCAAATACAGAGGAAGCTTTGCTGGCTTGCCCCACACTCACCTCCTGCTGTGTGACCTGGTTCTTAACAGGGGCCCTGGGGCTGGGGACCCCTGCCCTAGGGGACATTTGGAATGTCTGTAGACATTTTTTTTAAATTGTAAATCCAGGGTTGATGGGGTCTTACTAGCAGCTAGTGGATAGAAGCCAGGGGTGTTACAAGACATCGGGCAGTGCCGGGATAGCCCCACATAGCGAATAAATAACTGGTATTAATTACCAATAGCTATCTTGGGTGAGAAACCCTCATTTAGAGGGATCCACTGGTCCTCCTCCTCTACCCATGGCTCACCCTATGAGGTAAGAACTCTGTTGGCCAAGGCGTTATGCTCACATGGAGCCTCATCCCTTTTCTAGAGTGATGTTTTCAAAGTGTGGTGTCAGACCAGCGTCATCATCATCACCTGTGATCTTGGTAGAGCGACAGATTTTGGATCCCATCTGAGACTAACTGAATCAGAAAATCTGGGGATAAGGCCAACAAATCTGTGTTGTAACAGGTCTTCCAGGGGATTTTAATGAATGCTAAAGTTTGAAACTGTTCTCCGGAGCCCGAGTTCTGTGTTTGAACATAACATAAGTTTGTCAAGAGAGGAGGAGAGAAATTTTCTTTGACAGCTTGATAACTGGATTTATAAAATCTAAATATGAAGACAAATGGCATTTCGGCCTCCATTTGTACTCTTGCTCTAGGTGCTGGATTAGATTATGGCTTAAATTTCCTTTTCCGTGTGTGAATCCATGGATGCTATGGAAGCATTTTGAGTCTGTATTCTCTGCACAGACTCAGTCAGGATATAGTGACTTTGATGCTTCATCAAATGCTTAAATTTTCTCTTTTGCTTTCTACCCAGCAGGACTTCTTAATTTGTCTTTTGATATAATGTTAAAAAAGGTTTAAATTAGTTAAGTCAAAAGCAATCCCAATCATCAAACAAAATTTGAGCAGCTCTTAAGTTCCAGACACCTTTTACATAATATGATTTACATAGTTTTAAAAATTAAGAAGTACAGGCGCACATATTCTCCATGTGCATGTATATTAGTATGATTATTTGAAAGAGAAGTTCATAATCAAAAATTCAAATTTTGATTCAGTGATTTTATTTCTAGGAATTTATTCTAAAATCATACTTTTGCATGTAAGTGAAGGCGAATGTTTAGAATGTTTACTGCTGCTATTTTGTTATAGCTCCAGATAGGCTAAAACTTACATGTGCAGAGATTGGTTAAATGAATGTATGAACATCCTTTTATCAAACACTATGCAGCTATCAAAAGAACATGGCGTGCTGTTAATGGCAAAGAACCATGTAGTGGTCACAGTTTAAGAACTGTACTCTGACGTCAGACTGCAGGGATTAAATTGTCAGCTTTGCCATTGGCTTGCTGTGTGCCTTGGACATGTTACTTACTTTCTCTGCCTCAATTTGTTCATCTCCAAAATGGGAAATAATTATAAAGTCTACTTGACAGAGTTGTCGAGATGATTAAATAAAACAAGTTAGTCTTTTAGTGATTATCATATGGAAAATAGTTAACACCTATTAGCTATTATGATGGAAAGACTTCGAAGAAAAGTCACTAAATGAAAATATCAAGACCACACCGAACAATGAGTGTAGACTAGCAAAAAAGGGATATATATACATGAATTGTAGAAAAAGCTTGGCAAAGATACTCAAACACTATATACAGTGATTGTTTCTATGCATCTAAGATAGGAAGAAGACAACTTTTTCATTTTATAGTTGTCGATATGTTTTTCTATGTATAAGTATTACTTGTATAATTTTCAAACTTATTTAATAAAACCCATATGTCCGATGAGGTTAATATCCAAAATACATAAGGAACTCAAAGAATTCAGTAGCAAAAAGTCAAATAACCTGATTGAAAAATGGACTAAGGACCTGAACAGATAATTCTAAAAGGAAGACGTAGAATGGCCAACAAGTATAAGAAAAGGTGCTTAGCATCACTCATCATCAGGGAAATGCAAACTAAAATCATAATGAATTATCACCTCACATCTGTTAAAATGGTTAGTTTCAAAAAGAGAAACCATATGAAAAGTGTTGGGGAGCTGCGGAGAAGGGGAAACCCTATATATTCTTTATGGGAATGTTAACTAGTACAGCAATTATGAAAAACAGTATGGAGATTCCTCAAAAAATTTAAAATAGCATATGATCAATCAATTCCACTTCTGAATATTTATCTAAAGGAAATGAAATTAATGTCTCAAAAAAACACTCCTGTTAATGATAGCACTCTTCATAATACCCAAGATAAGAAAACAACTTGTTTGTTGACGAATGGATGGATAAAGAAAATGTGATGTCACATTTTCGTTACACAATAGAATATCTATTTCTTTATACAATAGAAATATGTGCAAATAATACACACACCCTTCCACCACATTTTCTTTACACAGTAGAACAGTATTCAGTATTCTTAAAAAAAGAAGGAAATTCTGCCATTTAAGACAACATGGATGAACCAGGAGGATATGTTATGTGAAATAAGCCAAGCACAGAAAGACAAATACTGCATAATCTCATTTATATATGGAATCCAAAAAAGTCAACTCATAAATGCAGAGAGTAGAATGTTAGTTGCCAAAAACTAGGGGATGGGGAAAATGGGGAGATGGTCAAAGGGTACAAAGAGTCAGTAATGTGGAATGAATAGATTCAGGGGATCTAGTGGTACAACATGGTGACTATAGTTACTAATACTAAATTGTATTCTTGCTAAGATTCTTGGCCTTAGTGTTCGTAACACACACGCACATGCACACACACGTAACTATATGGTGATAGATATGCTAATTAGCTTGATTGTGGTAACCATTTCACAATGTATACCTATATCAAAACATTACATTACAGTCCTTAAATATGTACAATTTTTATTTGTCAAGTATGCCTCAATAAAGCTGGGAAAAAAAGAAAGGAAAATTGAAGTCATGCAGATGCTCAGATTCTGTACGATGGCAGAAATACAACCATACAAATTCACTGATTTTTTTAAATGGCCATAGGATGACATTTCTAGTGCTGAAAGTTTATGTTTGTTCATGAGGAGCATGCCAGTGTTAAAGAATTTCATGGAAAACTTATTTTCATAATGACAATACCCTGTTCTTGATGATCAATTTCTCAGATTTTCCACTTGTAACTGAGAAATTCTGGATAAATAGTCTTTCTTCTTGGAAGCTAATGAATGAAATGCAGAAACATTCCAAGTACAATAGTCTATGGAGTTCTTCCTTGAGGTAGCTAGGGGGCCTTGTGAGTTGAAAGGCTGGTGTTCTTTGCAATGATTTTCCTATCCAGCATCAGTGCACACCCTCTCCTAATTGCATGCCCCATCAAGTCTCTTGTTGCCCTATAAATACTTGATTTAACGTAACTTGATTAAATGACAAAATCTAAAGTTTATCTTCCTTTGGCTTTGCCTGGATTTAGGAGGTCCACTGGTAGTTCAGTTGCAGAAGGGAATTCTCAGGATGCAGGCTATCAGGAGAAACACCGTGACCAGTATGTGTGGTCTCTGACTTTTATACTTTCCATCACACTTTGCCTCTACATTCAGTACTTCTGGAACTGATGGAGATCCAGACTCATTTTGACCAAGAGAAAGAAAAATTTTATTTTTGTAATAGGTTTTTTGATATCTTCAATAATCTAAGTCAATTCAGGTTTCTAAATAAATTTATATCTTATGCCACTCTTCTTTATTGCAGCTAGGATATATGACATTTGTTTTAAAATCAAGTTTAAAATCAAGTATTTCATTGTGAAATACTCCTGTGGTTTTAATCTTTGGCTCTTATTCTATCATCAAGTGCTCCCTTTAGTGGGTTCCTCCTTGCCTTTTTAAAGTATGAGCTTGGGGAAGTTTTTCTTCATTTTCTATAATGTGATTACAATAGTTTAAAAATAATAATCAGGTGAGACCGGGTGCCATGGCTCATGCCTGTAATCCCAGCAATTTGAGAGACTAAAACAGGCAGACCACTTGAGGTGAGGAGTTTAAGGCCAGCCTGGCCAACATGGTGAAACCCCATTTCTACTAAAAATATAAAAATTAGCTGAGTGTGATGGCATGTGCCTGTGGCAGTAGCTGTGGTCCCAGCTACTAGGGAGGCTGAGGCAGAAGAATCACTTGAACCTGGAGGCAGAGGTTGCGGTGAGCCAAGATTGCACCACTGTATTCCAGCCTTGGCAATAGAGCAAGACTCCGTCTAAAAAACAAACAAACAAACAAAAAACAAAAAAAGTAGAAACATAGAAATATTAAAATTCTTACAACTTTTATACCGTCTAAATAGATGCTAAAGGGCCATCTTTTTTTGTTATTTTATTTTATGATATTGCTATATTGCAGAATTACAATGGACAAGAAAAAAGAGGAAAGAACCCAGCTAGATAAATTTTTTTTTATTTTTGATCCCTGCCCAAAGTTATGCTTATATTTTACCTGTTGGAACTTTTATATCATACACATTATAATCCTAACACTTCATGAAGTTCAAGCATAGGTCTGCAGAGAGAATGAGTAAAACAGGTCTAACAATTTTTAACGGTCCAAAAATTCTCCTCTTGAAATGTTGACATAACTTAATGTTTCTTTTTGAAAGAGAACGAGTGTTAACTAATGATAATGCCTGTTCAAAGGTCATTGTACTTTGAATACTTATCCAGTATTTGCCTTGTATCAGAGAAACACCTGTGACCGAATTGATACAGGAACAGGAGAAAGACCAGCAGTGGCTGACATTACACTCCAACTGGGAGACTCTCAATGGGACCACTTTACATGAACTTCTAGTAAATGGGTAAGAACACTTTCATACGAGCTGTGTAGAGTCAGATTATGAAACAAGAGTTTATCATTGAGCCTTTCTTCCATTTTTTAACCTAAGATAATTCAAATTTGTCGTATCAGTAAACAGTTTCCACAGAACGGCCGTTGCCTTTACATTTCAACATTGGTTGCTTTTATTTCTTCTTTCTAGGCATAGGTTTTTCTTCTCTCATTTATTCATGATTATAGACACTATCAAGGTGAGAAGAGAGGAACTTGGGCTCTAATCTTGGATTTCTTTAAATATCTTATTCAAAATGAACACTCATGTCTGCATTTCCGACAGATGCTACATAGAACTAGTTAATAGAGGGAACTGAAGTAACGGTAACTAAGAAAACTTGGAAAGTATAAGAGAGAAATAGAAACAAATGAAATGATAATCAAGTTGCCTCGAAAGTGCTCTGAAGTTTCCCCTGAAAAATCATGGCATTTTAAACAGGGTGGCTTCCCTGGTCTATGGGTGGGGTGTAAGAGGAAGAGAAATTGAGAAAATTTACATTTATTAGGTTCTTATTACATTATAGACACACAGGTAGGTAGTCTTATATTCACTAAGTCATTTAAACCTTATAATAGACTTGTGAACCATGGATGATTACCCAAGTTTTACAGCTGAGGAAACTAAAGTTTAGAATATTTAAATAACTTGCCCAAATCTCACAGCCCACAGATGCTAAGTGATACTGTCTAAACTCTAAATAAGTTTATCTGACTCCAAAGCTCATAAATGTTACTACCTCTTAAGAATTTTAAAGAGGAAAACTAAAAATGGACCATTTCCTCTTAAAAGGTCTTGACATTTTTCTCATTGAACACACTTTGCAGCCAAATTTCTGAATATTTGTTAACTGAAGTACTTACTTTAAAACAATGACCTGAATCTTTTAACAAAGTGATTTGTTTTCCCACACTTGGAATTCCAGACAAAAACTTTTAGGGCAAGTAAATGAATAAATAACTCAGTCTAGATTGGGACTTGGTAAACTTTGTTTTAGTCCTGGTTTCTACTAGAAGTGTTATTTTATATAACTGCAGTTTCCAGTAAGAAGTTGGATGAATAGTCTTTGAGGACTTTTCCGATCCCTAAGACTATGTGTTTTCAGTCTAACAAATAAGAACTAATGATAAGTATTTCTTTTTTTTTCCTTTGAGATGGAGTCTCGCTCTGTTGCCCAGGCTGGAGAGCAGTGGTGCAATCTCAGCTCACTGCAACCTCCCCTTCTTGGGTACAAGCGATTCTCCTGCCTCAGCCTCCTGAGTACTGGGACTACAGGCAAGCGCCACCAAACCCAGCTCGTTTTTGTCTTTTTAGCAGAGATGGGGTTTCACCATGTTGGCCAGGATGGTCTCTATCTCCTGACTTCATAATCTGCCCGCCTTGGCCTCCCAAAGTGTAAGCTACCGTGCCCAGCCAAGTATTTCTTTTACACCAGGTTCAGCATTAGACTTTGACGGAATATAGAACTGAATGATGGGAAACGAAGGCCCTGATCTCAGGGAACATACACTATGTGGGGCGAACAGAAAGATTACAAGTTAGTGAACAAAATGATTTCAGACCTTGGTAAGTGCTGCAAATAAATTTCGGATAATGTAATAGAGATTAAGGAAGAGAGGATTTTAGACTGTAGGAAGGTAGAAAGCAAATGAGCTTTTCCTGTATTATATAATTTATTGTATGCAAATAATTACATGTGCCACTGCGTAAATCTAGCAAGAAATTAAAATACAGTAAATCTTTAGAGAGGAACATGGAAACTATGTATTTAGGGTTCGATTTTTTTTTTTCTGAGATGGAGTCTTGCTCTGTCACCCAGGCTGAAGTGCAGCGGTGCAATCTCAGCTCATGCAGCCTTCACCTCCTGGGTTCAAGCAATTCTGCCTCAGCCTCCCGAGTAGCTTGGATTACAGACAAGAGCCACCATGCCTGGCTAATTTTTTTTGTATTTTTAGTAGAGATGGGGTTTTACTATGTTGGTCAGGCTAATCTCAAACTCCTGACTTTGTGATCCGGCCCCCTTGGTCTCCCAGAGTGTTGGGATTATAGGTTTAAGCCACCATGCCTGGCCAGATTTTTTTTTTAATTTGAGAGATCTAGGATTCTAAGTACATCATGGTAATTTTGAAAGTCCCAATACGGTTTCCTTTTTTTATCCTTTCTCATTTACGTTGAGGCTGTAATGTAAATGTTTCAAGAGTGGAGGAAAACTTGGTGATTAAAATTTGTACCCTAAACTGAGTTATCTCATGCCATCACATTGAAGGATCCTTTAACAGGGACCATGTTTTGCATTCAAAATTGAACTTAGATTTTAGAAAATTCTTTTCCTGAACCCATAATTCATGTAAGTTGTACCTACTAGTTCTGATTATGTTGTCTAGAGTCATATGATATAAATTAAAGCTCCTTTCCTCTTGTCAACTTCTCATAAACCAAAATTGAACCTTGAGAGTCTTAGTAAGACTCTTCTCCAGTCTGAATACTTCATTCCTTTATCTGTTCTTTAAACTTCTGAAGTTATATTTTTACTCATCTTGGACTATTTTTTAACTTGTTTTGAGTGCACGCCACTTTGTATAAGCATAAAATCTGACATGCTGCCTCCTCAACATTGATTCTAAAAAGCACTCCTGTCTCCCCTTGAGAATTAGAGTTTGAACATTGTGGTGGTACATCAACCAAAATGATTTGGGAAATTTTGTTAAAATACTTCCTTTTCCTACAAATGTGAAATTACATTATGATAATATTAAATGAACTAAAAAATGACGTGCATATTTTCCATATACTCCCGCCCTCAATGTGATTAATATCTGACCACATTCCTGCCTTGAGAATTCCTGCACTAAGAGGAATTATTACCAGAGAATGCGATTTCTGATGGTAGCAGTTGAACCTGTCTTGTTTTTCACTGGTAAAGTGTTTGAAGTGAACAGTAAATATGTAACTTACCATTATACCATTTTATGTTTCCAAATCCAGGCAGCCCTGTCAGAGCAGAAGTAAAATTTCTCTTCTGTGTACTAAACAAGGTGAGAGAATTAGAGATGTGGCAATGGGATATGAAGTTAATTGAACTGGATTGACTCGGGGGAAGAGTGGTTGCTTGTATATGACAGCAAATAGCTAAGCATTTAGCAAGGTTTGGCAGCAAATCACAAACTGTGTCTTCTGCTTCTTGGTAGACTGTGGGCGCCGACCGGCTGCCCGAATGAACAAGAGGATCCTTGGGGGTCGGACAAGTCGCCCTGGAAGGTGGCCATGGCAGTGTTCTCTGCAGAGTGAACCCAGTGGACATATCTGTGGCTGTGTCCTCATTGCCAAGAAGTGGGTTCTGACAGTCGCCCACTGCTTCGAGGGGTAAGCTGCCCCTTTCCTTTTTTCCTTTGCCTGGATTTGATCACTTTGTCACTTGGGAATTCTCAGTGGCATATGTAACTCCATGAAGCCACATCAAGATGAAAGCCACAGCTAATCTGCTTGCCAGGCCTTTATCTTCCTAAAGTTTTCTATCCTTGGTGTTGCCATCTACTATATGGGCTGCCCATTTGTTGGAAATGATGCATATTGCCTCTGATTTTTGTCCTAAGGAGGGAAAGAGAGAGAAAGTAGTTTAGAAGATTGACCTCCTGCTACTATTGGTCTCTTTTCTAGACCTCTTAAATGTATCACATATATAATAACTTAAACAGAAGTGATTTATTTGGATACTGCAATGAGGTTTGGATGCAGAAGCAACTGGTGAGTAGTTTGGGAAGCAGAGTTAAAGGTATAATGTGTGCAACATATGTGCTATTCAGAGTGTGTGTGTGTGTGTATAGACAGAGAGAGGTTATGTTATGCCATTTTATGTTTTCAAATCTAGGCAGGCTTGTCATGGCAGAAGTAAGATTTCTCTTCTGTGTGCTAAACAAGGTGAGAAAATTAGAGGTATGGCAATGAGCTATGAACTTAATTGAAATGGATTAGCTCAGGGGAAGAGTGATCCCTTGAGCCCATCTAAACCAAACCAAATGAAAACACAAACAAAACAATGATGATAAACGCAGGTTTGTCTTGACATGATTGGCTCATGTGATTCTGGCAACTTGATGAGCCCAAACCCTGATGAGGTAGGTGGCAGGTAGGAAGATCAGGCAAGAATTGCAGTTGAATCTGCTGGCAGAATTTCTTCTTGCTGGAAAGGTTAGTCTTTGTTCTATTAAGATTTTCATCTGAATGGGTAAGGCCCATCAACATCATGGAGTGTCATTTGCTTTACTCAAAGTCTGCTGATTTAAACATTAATCTCACCCAAAAACGCACCTTCACAGCAACATCTAGAATAATGTTTGGTCAACTATTTGGGCACTGTGGCCCAGCCAAATTGAGACATAAAATTAACCATCACAACATGCCTAAAGAAAGCAGAAGAATAAGACTAAGGAAAACCTACCTCAAACTGACCAACGTCACTGCAGAATCTCTTCCAGCTATCTAAAGCTATGTAATTTAGTAGCAAAAAAACCAAACCAAAACTAAACACAAACAAAGCAATGACAACAAACAAAAATTCAGACATTTATTGTGCTCACTGAAGATACCGGAGGTGAGACATTCAGACAAAGTGTAGTTGGCATAACTTGTCTCTATTCTGTGATTTTTGGGGCCTCAGCTGGAAGATTCCAAGGCTAGGGAGAGGCTGGAACCATCTGAAGTCTGAGAGCAGACAGTGCCTTTGGGCTAGGGCCTCTGTTCCTCTTCATATGAGACTCACTCCATGGTGGTTGACATCCTCCAAAGCAAGCTTCCCAAAAAGGAAGCCAGGAGGAAGCTGTATTACCTCTTTTGACTCAGCATCCAAAGACACATAACACTGCTTCTCCTACATGGCTGCCCAGAGTCATCAGTCACAGGCCCCATCTGATTCAAGGGGAAGAAATACAGACCTCCTACATCAAAGGACTTGAGGACAGGTTTTGAAAACCACCCATACTACCCATTTAATTGTATTTGTTTTTAATAATTTTACTTTATTTAAATGAAGTAATATTAAATAGCAAAAAATTTGAGACAAAAATAATCCACAGATCTGTTATTAAATTAAATGGATTATTTTCATTTGATCTGATTAGTTTCTAGGAAAAAAAATACAATTTCATTTTCACCTCTTTGCCTATCATTATTTTGTCTTAGCTTTGCCATTTCCTGTGTGACCACTGGCCAATTAAATAACTTCTCTGGGTCACTGTTTTCTGTTATGTGAAATTAAGAAAATAATAATCCCTACGTCACAGAGTTGGTGTGGGCATGAAGTGCAAAATAGTCTATGCAGAGTTTTAATAACTATGCCTGGGATCGACTAGTAAGACACCAAAAGGTAAACTTTTCTTCTAAAAAAACTATTACTAAAATCATGCATTCTACATTTTCCCTTAGCATACGGCATGAGTATTTTTGCATTTTGCTAGTGCTATTATCTCATCCCACACTCATTCCACTTTAATTCCCGATCATCCTTAAGGTAACCTCTGTTAGTGCATTAAGAATATTCTCTCACAACTATAATCACATACATTTTTCACAAGGCGTCATTGTTTACTTTTACAATTCGGAATAACACTCTATAATTTTGTTTGTAAGTTGCTTTTCTCATGTAACGATATATCATGGACATCTCTCAGGTCAAGTGATGTAGCTCTAACTCATTTTTTTAAAAAAGCCAAATATTATATCTATAGATTGACTACAGCTTTTACAATTATTCCCTAATTGATGGACTTTTGGTTTAGTTCCAGTTTGCCACAGTTTGAACAATACTAGCATTTTTAAAGAAAGCTACTCACCTATTGGCACTGTTGTTTTTAGAGGACACAGTCCCAGCACATAACTGTAGTTTCATAGGGAGGCTACAGAGAGGGATACATGTTTTGTTCTCTAAGGGGCTAATGTGTGAGAAGACAGAAATTTAAACAAGTAATTAGAATACAGTGTGATAGTGATGACGAAATGGGAATGGGTATATCCAGTTATTTGATTGCTATTTTTGGAGAAATAAAACATTAAAAAAAATCAAACCAACACCTTCTCTTGAGAGTTTTTAATGTGTAAAATCCAAAATTATTGGAAAAGCCTTCATAGTATGTAAAAAAAACACACTGGAATGTTATTGCTTTAGAGGGGGCCAGATGTCTCCAGATGTCTTTTCCAGATCTAATTTGTAACTCCATGATAAGAAGAAGGTTGTACTAGCAAGAGTATTTATCAAGAGATGATTACCTAGATGACTGCAACAGTTTTTTCAGGGAACAGCACTCTTTATGTGCTAGTTCATCCAGGTTCATACCCCACTTTTGTTATTTCCATATGTGGTATCCAAGTTTCCTCTTTCACTGGCAGAGGAAAGAGTAAAATTCAGGAGAAAGCTTGCAATAGAGAAGAAATATGTGTTTATAATTAAGGACATGTACATAATATCAAAGGCCTTGGTGAAGTTTCATGGAACACAAAATTTAACGAAACTGTTAAGAGAGGCCTGGCCTATCCATAAGAAGTTAGAAAATGTCCTACTTCAAATGAGCCTTTGCTTGAATGTGTGCTAATAATTCTGAATCTATTTTATAATATCTCCAGTGGTGCAGCAAACTTTTGGAAACTTCTAATTGTAAGCCATACTCCCTGCTGGAGCCATCAATTACAGCAATTAATGGGATTTACTTTATATCCTGATCTCATCCTTTGGCAAGGGCTGGAGTGACCCATTGGTGGGTCTCCTCAGCCTGTCTCTTTTAATTATATTTATGGGAAAAAGACAAGTTCATTTTGCTCTTCTATGAAGATGTAGTTAAAACTCTCAAATGATACTTTAAAAACGTGAGATAGTTGACCAGATCAAGCCCCATCTGTCCTAGTAATAATTCCTTTCCAAAGTTCTAAGGAAGAAAGGCTTTGACTTTCATGGGATAATCTAGCAAGCAATTTTCCTGCTTTCTTCCACTTCTGAAAGACTTATGAATGAACTTCCTAGGCTGGCACATGACTAGTAATGGTCAGAAACATCTGATTCCTCTCCAGGAAATCCACATGAAAAACTGTCTTCCTACTATATGACCACAACCCATACTCCTGCCACTCCATCACCCATGTCTTGATTCCCTCCACATCAGCTGTTCAATCCAGTAAGATTTTTGGTTGGTGGCTGCATTTTCTCCCCTAGTATCTCAGTCTGAAGAATCTCCTTCTCACCTCGTTTCTTTCCCTCAACTTAATCCAGTTCCCTGGGCTCATTACTTCAGTCCTTTCACCAGGACCTTGGAGTCTTCCTAGATCTTTCCAACACACTGAGCAGACCTCCAAAGTGAAGACCACGTTTTCTTTTTTCTTTTGAGTTGGAGTTTTTTGTTTTGTTTTGTTTTTGTTTTTTTGAGACGGAGTTTTGCTCTTATTACCCAGATTGGCACGAAATGGTACAACCTTGGCTCACTGCAACCTCTGCCTCCTAGGTTCAAGCCATTCTCCTGCCTTAGCCTCCCAAGCAGCTGGGATTACAGGCACCCACCACCATGCCCAGTTAATTTTGTATTTTTCGTAGGGACAGGGTTTCACTATGTTGGTCGGTTTGGTCTCGAACTCCTGACCTCAAGTAATCCATCTGCCTTGGCCTCCCAAAGTGCAGGGTTTACAAGCATGAGCCACCGTGCCCGGCCACATTTTCTAGTCCTATACCCATGCACTTCAGAACTGAGGAAGAACATTACTGAATAATGCAGATTACTGCCATGCTTGACTTTCAACATAAGTTGGACCCTTAATATTACTCAATAGTCTTTCCACCTATTTTTAAACAGCTGCCTCTCCTATTTCCCACAGAACAAAATCTTTGTTCTTGCTTGCCTGCCTGCCCTGATCTGGCAGTCTTTTAATACACTGTGAAAAGGAAGTGAGAAGTTTGGTCTTTTTATTACTGAGCCCATGCTGTAAACTTCTGCTTACTTCTTTATCTTCTAGGAGTGTATCAAATATGCAAGTCATTCACAGTTTCATTTTCCATTCCATCTACTCTAAGGATTTAGCCCATTCCCATCAGAAGTAATATCACTACAAGAAAAAATCTGCATTTTAGATCCTTACCTCCCATGGGATGCTGTTTCTCAGCATCGCTGGGGAGTAAGCAAATGTGACTTTAAAAATCCCTAGGTGACTCTGATGTTACCTCATACTCCCCACTGCCCTGCCCCCTATGGAAGTGTTTTCTGTCATTCTCCCCTCTCCACTGGAAATGTCTGGGTCTATGATGTAGCTAGCAGTTGATCTAATGTGCAATCCCATTGTTTTGGGGGCTTCTAGAAACTTGGAGCTCTCTCATTTTAAATTGTAGGAGT